TCCTCCTCCCTCCCTCCTCCTCCCTCCTCCTCCTCCCTCCCTCCTCCTTCCTCCTCCTCCGTCCTCCTCCCTCCCCTCCCCTCCCCTCCTCCTCCCTTCCTACCCTCCCTCCCTTCCCTCCCTCCCTTCCCCTCCCCTCCCCTCCCCCTCCTCGTTCCCCTGCTTGTTCCCCTGCTCGTGCCCCTGCTCGTGCCCCTGCCCCTTCGCCCTCCATCATTCTTCAGTCCCGGCATGCCGCATGCGCCTCATCAGACTTAAATCGAATAAATTATGTTCGCAGGAATAATCTCACGATCAGCACCGGACAGTCCTCGCAGTTCAGCATGGGCTGGTTTATTGTCAACTATTCAGCTCTCTAGACGCCGTTAACGAGCTCTGCGATGGTCCCTTGCTAACCGTCTGCATAAGTCGGCGAGTCAGGGCAGGCGGTAAGGAGGGAGCAGGAGCAGGAGCAGAAACACAGGAGCAAAAACAGGAGCAGGTGTAGTGATGGGGAGCAGGAGGTGTAGTGATGGGGAGCAAGAGCAGAATTTGATGTGACAGGAAGAAAAGAACAATTCGGTAGAGCTCAAAAGGGATGATGGCGGAGGTATCAAGACCTCTGGCTTGTAAGTTGTCTGCTCCTGCCGCCTGATCTTCAACCCCTGGCAGGTGCAATCTTTCAGCAAATCCGGTAGAGGAGGAGGAGGACTGTTGGCCATCACCTTCTCCTTGAGTCCACTGGTGAAAGAGTACTTGCGAGAAGAGTTGTTGAGATCCTCAGCCTGACACCAGACAGGTTGAGATATGAACGCGAGTTGCAAACAATAGCCAGCAACCTCAGCTGAGACTAGTTTCTTCTCTTCCTCGGTGAGCTCCTTGAGCTCTTCATCCCCGTCCTTGAGTTACGTCAGAAGCGAAGGGGAGGAAGAGAGGAGAAAGAAGTGGAGGAAGGAGGAGGAGGGACCTTGTAGTAGTAGAACCCTTCCTCTTTCAAAGCAAGCGCTTGAATCGCCGACCCACTCGACATCTTCGCGTGAGCCTAAACGAAGCTTAATCCTCCTCCTCCTCCCTTGCCGATATTTCCAACCAGCAGTGAATTCCAGTCGTGATATTTCACCAAGTCGAGCTTAGCAAAACCTGAGTGAGGGAGGAGAGAGTGAGCGAGTGGGAAGACGATGTCGAATTCTCTCACCATTCCAGTTGGATCGTTGGGTCAGCCGTAACTTGGTATGCTCTATTTGACTTCTCGCTGCAAGCTTCCTGTTTAAGTCGTCGATCTGCCAGTAACTGTTAGGAGGAGGAGGAAGGGCATGATTAGGGAGTTTACCGTGTCTTCCGCTTCAACTATCATCTCCTCTACAGGGTCGCACTGTATTCGGCGTCATTTCCTCAGTTCTTTCCTTCCCGCGGTTTCCTCCCTTGTCGTTTCTCCTTCTCCCTCCCTCCCTCCCTCCCTCTTCCTCGCTTCCCTAGCTTCAGCTCCTCCTCTCATCCCAGTCATTACCTTGTACTCCGACGGTCGCCATCGCACAAGCTGAACAGCCAGAGACTCTGCTCGAGTCTTCGGCTCCTGCCAAACCATCATCATTCACTTTCTGCTCTCCTCTAACTCTCACCAGCTGAGGCAGCAGCTCCAAGAATAAACATTTGGTCGAAATGTTCTCGAGCTGCAAAACCTGTCACCATTGCGCGAACAAGACCTCTTGCTGCCTTCACCTGATACTGCGACGAAAGCTTCATATCATCACAAAGCACCTGCAAGAACCATGAATCCCAAGGCAAACTGCAAAGGCTTCATCGACCAGCTCAGGGCAAAATCTCAACGTTGAGGGAGCGCGAAGACGAAGGTGTGGGACCCCATCGGTAGAGTCAATCTTGCACTTCAGACTATCCGGCAGGTTCTCAATCAGGTTCACTTTGATCTGTGCGACGGTCAGGTCGTCGTCGATCTCTACTGTGCTCAGCTCCTTCCACGTCAAGGGCTGCTTGACCGAGTCGACCAGGTGAAGCTGAACCTGATAGATCGACGCCTTGGACGGTGCTCCTGCCTCAACGTGCAACCTTGTGATGTACTCTCCTCCCCTCGAGATTCCCAGGTCAGCAAGAGACATCTGCATCCTGTTCAACTCTTGCATCCCGTTCTCAGCCTTCCGCAGGATCTTGAACTTCTCACACTCCATCTCCAACATGCTGCTCATCCTCTCCTTGGCGCTCTGGAGGGAGTCGGAGATTGGGGTGATGATAGAGTGACCGACGGATTGGTTCTGCAGGTCGTTGAAGAGGATCTTGATTTTGTTCGAGGCCTCCAAGACAGCAGGAGACATGATGGAGTTCTTGAAGAGGTGCACATCGTTGAGCGAGTTCAACATCTCAGACTTGATCTTGGCGACGAAGAAGAAGTCCTCCTCCCACTGAGAGAACATCCTCTTCAACCTGGTTGCGTTCTCCGGGAACTGAACTTCCCTGTGGATCGAATGCCGTCGATACTTGGCAACCACGAGCTCACCCACATCGACGCCGTACTGATGCATCACCAGGCGCTTCAGGTCCAAGACGGTGTCCTCTTCTTGGAGGTAAAACACGTCATTCTCGTCCGAGAACTGTAGGATTGCGCTATCTACATCCCCAACAATGTCTCTGCTCAGCCAAACACGGACAGGACTGCTGTTCGGCTGGAATTGCTTCCATGGCATTGAAAGATCCATCCTCGTTTCCACAGCCAAGTTGATGTTACAAGACAGTATGCTCTCAATGGCAGGATTGTCCTCCTCATCTGACAGGACTGGTAGTCCCAGCAGGTCGTTTGACGGGTTGTACTTCCTGAGCCGGATGCAGTCGATATCGACGTCCTTCAAGCTATTGAAACTTTCCCTGACCCTTACCAGCAACTGATGGTAAGATTGATCCTTCAAGATATTCACTGTGCTGTGGTAGAAGCCGTGGAATACGTTGATCTGCCACGTATTCCTCTTTATCCGCAGCTCCTCCTCCTCTCTCTTCAATGCTTCCTCGCTAATCTTGATCGCTTGTGCCAACTCCTGCGAACACAAGTCAGCGCAATGGAAGTGGAATCGACGGGGTTTGTTGCTTGCCTCTGGCACCTCTAGCTTCCGCTGAACCTTCCTGCCATCCTCCCTCCTCCTGTACAAAAGCATGTAGGCGGTCGCTGTGGTGAGATAGGTCGTTGTTGCTCCATAAGCTCCGAAAGTGGATTCAACATCCTGCCAGCAAGCTTCCGTTACCATAGCGTCGTTAAACTTGTACCATCGTCCTTCCGCCAAGTCCTTGACGTACGCGTAGTAGTGCCCACCGAACGCGCTTCCGCTATGCACCATGACGCTGTAGAGGTCATACCACAAGGGATTCCGAGCAGACTCGGAGGGCTCGCAGTTGCTGCTGGAGTGAAGGTTGCTGTCTCCCTCCATGCGCTGCGATTCGCCGTCTTGCTCGTCCGGAGGGTCTTCGGTGATGGACATGCGCCGCTTCCTCTTGGGGTTGCGGCAGAGGTAGGAGGAGGCGTCGAGCATCTCGGGGAAGGTGACTCTGTCTGTGATCTTGATGCGTCTCATAGTCTCGTAGTCGAAGTCAAAGCGTTTGAGCTGGATGGTGAGGATGTACGGGAGGTCAGCGAGCTGAAGCCCCTTGTAAGCATCCACCATCATCTTTTCTGTCCGACCGTTAGCAGGATCAGGGTCAAGTTGGTACTGATTGTTTCCATCCAGAGTCTCAGGCTTGATGAAGTTAGCCAGACCTTCTTCAACGCTCTTGATGGGATGGGGATTTCCAAACTGCTTGATGTTCAGAGAGAGGTCCATGAATGGCTCTTCCTTGAGAGATTCAAACTTCACTTCAGCTCCGGGGATGTTTCTCACGTAGCTTTCCATGATTCCCTCGAACAAGTCCTTGATCAAGTGCTCCTTCGGTGTTCCCTTGAGCCTCTCCTCAAGCTCATCAAAAAGCACTCGGCACAACTCCTGGACGTCGTGCTGCTGAAAAGCATCTGCACCAGACCAACCAAAGGATCGAGTCAGCCCTTTCGTCTCCACCGAATGTTTCTCCGATAGCTGCATCTGAGCAAAGAGATATTGCAGCTGGAAACAGATGCTATCTTTCTGCTTCACCGGATCCTGCTCCACGGTAATCTGGTAAACCCCTTCACGGAACTCAGGCGTCATGAACAAACTTTGTAGCAGAGAGTTCATGTAGCACGTTGCTCCTTGATTTGAAAGTCCTACAAATTTACACTTGGGCCCTGTGCTGTAGCTGAACACAGGGCGGGTAGCAGACATGAACCCGTTTCTTTCTGCGGTACTGCTGTAACCCGTTGATTCTCTCGCTGACGCAAAGTCCATTTCCTTCACGTATCGCACTTCTACAACCAGTCTACTAGTGTGATCATCAAGACTCAACAAGTCCTTGATCAACTTCCCGTTCTTCGCATAGTCCTCGATGTTCTGATCTGCTACGAATAAATCGAAATCTTCGGATGAGCATAATTTTTCGCTGGCTACTTGTTCATACAAGATACTGGCTTTATCAAGAGTCCTCAAAGACTTCGACCATCTTGAAAGAAATGCAGACGGCAGAACATCTTTGAAGATGACATTGATGTCGACTGCAAAAGAATGCAAAGTCATCTCACTGAAACTTAAAAGAAAGTGCTACAGCTTCAAAATGAGCAGCAGCAAGAATCTCCAGAAGCACGGGTAAGAAGATTGCTACATGCATTGCAGGCAGCTGGAGGATTGATCCTTGTTGCCCTCAGCACTTCGCTCTATCCTATCCTCAGGCACTTCTCGTCCCTCTAACCCCGTCCCAACTCTCCACCTATTTTTCCCAGCTACAGCCCTTCCTCACTCTATGTAGCCATGATCTCCTTCTCCTCCTCTCCCTCGCCCTCCTCTCCTCTGATGGCCATGAGTTGTGTCTCCTCCTCTCCTCCTCTCCTCCTCTCCCCTCTTACCGTTCGCCTCGTTGTCCCCGCAGGCAACGAGCGCTAACTCTTGCATGACTTCACCGGCAGTTATGCGTGTGTAACGACTAAAACCCCCATCCAAGGCCCCCGGCCCCCGGGCCCGGGTGCGGCCCGGCCCGTGCTGGCCCTTTTCTTTTACACAAAGGCCCAAGTGACTGTAATGCCCGGTAGCTGCGGGCCCGGTAGTATTCACTGACTCCCGTTACTACTGGCAAAGTTCTCCCATTGCGCTGCCTCTTCAGTTCTTCCCAGGGTTCTCGCTGTCTTTCTCTTCTCGCCGTTTGGCCAGTGTGACAGTTGTCAGGGTCAAGCCTGCTCGACTCTCCTTATAGTCCTCGTACTGATTTTTAACTTAACTTTGAGTAAACCTTCTCTACTGATAGTTGGGCCTCCTAATCAAGGTGTGTTCGTCGGAGTTTTAATTATCAGACTCCAAGTGTATACAGAGCCTTTCCATGTCGCTTATGTGAATGTCTTCGCAGTCGCCATCCTCCCACTCGATCAAGACGATGTCGCTTCCTGGCACCCTTGTTGTCACCGTTCCTATCACCCCGTCATACTGTCTCTTCAGCTTCTGTCCCACAGCGATGTCCTCTGCCTGTCTCGTGCGAGCAGCATCCTCGACAATCTCTTCCACCTTGTTCTCCATCGCCTCCATTCCGTTCGCAGCCGCTGCTTCCTCCTCCAGAGACGCATCCTCGGCTCTTGCCTCTAGCTCCTTCTCAGCTTCCTCAAGGCTTGTCTTGGATAAGGTTTGAAGCACAATCACATCGGGGTTGGGGAGAACAACTACCATGCTCGCTCCCATCATGCAGTCTCCGATACCACCATTGTCTGCGCTACCATCGATCTGGATCATGTACTCTCCGCTGTCACCGTTGTATGCCATCACCACCCCCAGGTATCGCGCGTCCACGCAGTTCACCCCCACTGTCGACCCCAGCAGCTCCGGGCTCGCTCCCCGCATCAGTGCCACCTCCCCGTAGCTCCAATCCAGCGGCCGCCTGTTCCTGGGCTGCATGTCCTGGGCAAACATGTCGCCATGGTGCTCTAGGATGACGTCCAGCAACTGCGGCGAGCTGGAGCTGAGCAGATGTCAGTGTACGCTGCGTAGGGAGGGCCAGCGCTACCGGCTCTCCTGCTCCCCTGCTTCGTTCCGAGCCTCTTGCATCCTCTCGAAAACGAAGGGCTGCATAGGCAGGAGGAGCATGGCGCCGCGCTTGAAGCGAGAAGCTTTCTGGATCTCCGGGTAGTCCATCTGAGGAAGGTCGTTATACGGTCACAGGTGCGGGGAACGAGCTAAGCTCGAGCTCTACCTTGTTGACCAGCAGCAGCTTGTCAACGTCGACGCCGAAGCTCTTAGAGATCGATCTCGGGGTGTCTTCATCCGTGCACATCACCCGGCCGTTCTACAAGAGCATAAGGTGGCTCGTCAGGTCGGTTGGCTCACTCACCGCATACTGCGAGTGACAGTCGGCGTCCACAAGGAACACGCGCGATGTCTCCATGTCGATCCACTGATCGAACCTCCTCGGCCAACTGAGAGCAGAAGCGTCACCATCATGGCGTTCCTTCGCATGTAGAAGCTTTCCGACCTGTTGAAGTGAACCAAGGCCCTTCCCTCCTCCGCGTTGTACTCCTCCACCTGAACCATCTTGAGAAACTTGCCGCAAACATCAATGGGCAGCAAACCTCCGCATGGAAGAAAATTCCCTCGTGTCCTCCAGCCTTGTCCTCACAGAGGACATGGTTCCCAGCTCGGATGGGTAGCAGCTGTAGGGTTCGCATCCGATCACTAATGTGTATCAACGGCGCAAACTCTCACCTCAGCTGGACTCTGAAACTTGGGAGGGATCAGCTGGACATCGAACGATGGCAGAACTATCCAATCCTCTGTCCTGTGTGACAAAAAAATCATTTTCAGAGAGGAGGAAGAGAGGAGGAGGAGAAGGCAGGTAGAAAGTAAATTGAGAAGGGAGCAGACTGGAAGACTCACTCTTCCTTGCAGAAGAGAACGTGATAAGACGATTTGCCATCATAGTCGTCAATCACGCATTCCCTCCAAATCTTCTCCTCTTCAAAGAATCGTCGGAGCCTGCAGAACTTCAATTTCATGGCTTCTAACATGTAGGATCTTCACCTCTGACCGAGCCAGTGCTCTCCGTGCTCGAAGACTTTTACCCCAAGATGATCCAGCACCCCAATCTGAGAGAAGTAGCAGCGTTGGAACTCTCCAAGCAACTGAAAGCCAATGATCATTGCCAAGTTTCACATCGAAGCGACGGTGTCATATGACAAGCAAATTGGTTCTTTGATCTCCAAAATGAATAAAATGTTTCACACTCGGAACTTACTTCAGTGGCTTGCTTAGCAATCGCGCTAGCTTCTCCATAGAACAAACAGAAATATCTCAGTACTCGTATGAAATCTTCGCGAATCTGCAGAATCTTTGACATCAAACAAGCCATGGCCCCCATGAAAGACGGTATGAAGATGCTTCACCTGTGATGGATTCTTGTAGGCTCGCCTCGTTGAGTTGAGAGTCTGGTCGATCTTCTTGTTGATCGTAGTGATGTCTGTCAGACTTTTCGACCGAGCCAACTCCACAGACATGCCGAAGCTGTTGGAAACGAACGTGAGAATAGTGACAATGGAAACATCTGAGAGCAAAGGAGGCACAAACAATGGAGAATAGTCAACATTGAACAACAATCTTGTCATAATAGTGATGTGTGCAATAACGGAAATATTTGCCTCCAAATCATGGCGAATTCTATGCAAAGTGAGGATCATGAAGCTTGTAACACATGACAACAGAGCATAGTCAGACACAAGACATCACGGGCGATTGCATCAAGCAAAAAATTGAAGGATTGAAAACTAGTCAGGGGGTCAACTTCTAGCAGCGATAATCACCTTCCAATCAAGGAGCGGAGAAGTTTTTGATCAGGATAGAGAAAAGGAGCAGCACACTTCCAAAAACAGTCAGACTGGCAAGATCGACCAGGTTCAAGACTGTTTCATCTTACTTCCTTCTGCATCAGATCCTTAAGAATCAGCTGGCATGTCCTGATGCCTTGTAATCTATCCAGTTGAATAATCTCCTTGTCTTGCTCAGACTTGATCTTCGACAGCTCCTGATCTCTCGTTTTCGCCTTCTTCACGGTCTTTTCTTCCCCCGTGCTCTTGCTTGGCTGCAACGTTTCATTTTCTGACCCGCCTCCCTTCCTCTTCTTAGCATTCTTCAGTATCTTCACATGGATGGGCTGCAAACCAAAATGAGAAAGTGAATGAGACAAGAAATCGAAACGTGCAGAGGAAGATACAGCAGTGAGTGAAGAGTTGAAGTCTCAGTTGAGAAGAGGAGGAGAGAGATGAAAGAACGAGGAGGGAGAATACTCGACGAGCAGGATGATGAGGAGCAACAGCAGCAGGCGCAAGAGCGTTAAGCTCGAGTTCTCACCAACACTCCGTGCTCAAAGTCACCATCATCGTAGTCCACGTCAACTTTCCCGTCATTCGCGATCTTCACGATGGTCCCCTGGTACCAGCCCTGCAGCCCACGGCGAGCTTTCCACTTGGCCCGCACTCGCATGCCAACCTCAAGCCGAGGAGCGTTGCTCGTTCGGATCTCCTGCGACATGTTTGGGTCAAATACGTCCATTCCTCGCCTCTCGCACCTGCTCTACAAGCTTGCGAGCTACTTCAGTCGAAGAGTCGACCGTGTCAAGCTGCTCCTGTGCCATGCTGTAGTAGTCGAAGAGCTCCAGCAGCGCCTGTCCTGCTCGCACCTCCTGCCTCGAGAAATCATCCAGCGACACTTTCACCTCCTGCTTCTTCCCCTTCCGCTTCTCCTTCTTCTTGTCCTTCTTCCTCACCCTATCGCCTCTGCTCGGCTTGTTACCCTTGAGGAGAAACTTCACGTAGTTCTCATATCCTGACAGCGACTTGATCATCTCAGCAACTTTCAAGTGCTTCAGCCCGAACATGGTGAAGCCACACAGCCGATCGTTCAGTCCCAGATCAAACTTCTTGTTCAACTCCACCACCAGCTGCCGCCAAGGATCATCCGGGTTGCTTCCAGAGAACGAAACCATCTTGTCATTCATCTTGTAGAGCTGGAACCTTGGGCCCTCACGGATAACACAACAATATTCCGTCTGCTCGTTAGAATCCGCCACGTCATAGTAGAGACGATGGGCTTCGTAGCCCACCGGGGTCACTATGTTCCCCTGGTAATACCCGGCAGGGTTCAATGGCAGCTGCCCCAACGCGATCACCTTGAGATTGGAGTAGCAAAGAGGAAGCTGGAGTTCGCCTTCGAGAGTTTCCTTGACCCTCTCCTTGCTCCCCTCGTCTCTGCCCTCCTCCCTCTCACTCTCCGAGCTGTACTCGCTGCTCACACACGAAGTCGCCTCCTCCTTCGTATTTTCGTCGGGCTCTTTGTGGGACCCGCCGGCACGGGAGGAAGCATGTCCCCTCCCTTGCACTGACGATCGCAACTTGGGTCGAGGTCCTTTATGCTGCTGTGTCAGGAATTGTTCCTCCATCTTTCGCGACTCTACAATCAGTTCCTCCGCCGCTGCCACGTCGTCTGTTGCTGCACACAGCGCTGCTCGAGCAGTTTCTTCATCACAACCCACTCTCTTCATGAGATCTAGGACCAAACCCTCTCCCCTCCCCTCCCCTCCTGCTCCTGCTCCTGCTCCCTCGTTGCATGCAGCTGCTGTGCTCCTATCAAGAATCTCTCCGTCCTCCTGTGTAGTCTCATCAGGATCTTCGACCTTCCGGCTCTTCTCCTCTACATGTCCGAGAAAATCCTTAGGGACCACACTTGCAATATCAGACACATCCGAAGAATTTGAAGGCTGTTCTGATTTCCCGACACTCCTTTGACTCGCTCTTTCAGTGTCTCTGACATGATTCTGGACCCCATTGCAAGCATCTTCGTTCCCCGGCACAAGACTTGGAGAAGTCTCATTACTTGTGTTGCCAGTCTGTCCCTTTGCCATCTGTCTCGGATCTCTGACTTCTTGTCTTGGGTCCTTCACTCGCCCCCTTGAAACCTGAAGATGCCTTCTCCCCTGACCATCGCCGTTTATTTCTCCCTTCTCAGGCTGAGAAACTCCTTGCTGAGCTTCAACACGCTTCTCCTCACTTGCTGTCCTGCCGTTAGCACCCTGAGTGTTCGATGGCGCATGGTCCACAGGGTCCCGATGAGGAGTGGTAGAGTTGGACGACTGCTGGGGTTCTGCCGCATTTACCTCTCGTTGCGATTCCTCCGATACCTTCTCCCTTTCACTCTTCAACTTAGCTCGCTCAACAATCAGTTGCTCCTTCATCCTCTGCAACTCTGCTCGCAGTTTCATCTCCTCGATGTCTCTTCTTCTCATCTCCTCTTCCCGCTCCATCCTCAACCGTTGTTCGGCCTCATCCTGCATCATATAGATCACTCGCTGCATGAACATCGGGCCATCGTGCCTTCTCTTTCTTCGCTCGCTCTTCCTCTTGCTTCCTTTTCATCCTCTGCTGTATGATCTGCGCAATCGTTCCTCCTGCGTTGCTCTTCGAAGCGAGTGTTGAGGTTGAAGATCGAGAAGTTGATTCGCCCTCATCCCCTGTTACAGAATCAGGTAAGGAATCAAGTGAGAGCGAGCGAGAGATTGTTTGAAATGGGAGGGAGGGAGAAGGAGGTACGATATACCTCCCCTTGTCTTTGTGATTTCTTCGTGGTTATGATGAGCTTTCACGTGCTGCTCTACAATCTTGTAGTACCCATATCCTCTAGGCCCATTCTTGAGCACGTAATTTTCAGACTCCATTCGCTTGTTGGCATTGAAAGGATAGAAATCCTTCTCATCGGAAGGCTGGGAAGCATTCACTGGTTCCTTCGGTTCTTTCTTCACCACGATGACATCATCCCTTGGCTTTCTTGTAGCACCTGTACGAGATTTAGAGTCATGGCACAGAAGCAAGCTGTGAAACCTGTCTCCCTGGAATTACCGTGATCTTTCGACCTTTCTTTCTCTGGGGAGTGAACTGGGAAACATGTAAGAAACAACCAGATTCTTGTCTTAATCCGATCAGACCTTCCTTCATGTGATCTTCAAGAGCACTCTTCGCCTCTTGTCCATTCTCGTAATGATGATAAATCCTATCCGGGTAGAAAGTCTTGATCGCACCCGTAACAAAGAAGACCGAGGGGCACCGGCTACACTGGAACACCCGGCAAGTTACGATATTATTCCTTATTTGCTTATCTTCTACACTCCTTGTTGGCAACTGGTTGTTGTCTGAGGTACAAGAATAGTCAGCAACAACACAACAGGCATGACTGAATCATCATCACATGTTCTATTCCGATTCACTTGGTCCACTGGAGGGGCGACTTGTGCAGACGGTGGCATCCAGCGAGCGGCTGGCTCGGTATGGATAGCAGGAGGGTTCACAGTCTGTTGCCTGGCTGGAAGACTTTGAGGAGGTCTCTGTAGTGGCGAGTTGCTAGCTTCATGATCGGCTCTCGTCGCATTCAAACTCTCCGCAGGAGGTTTGATGTCAAGATGGTGCTGCTTATCCTCTACGATCTGCGAGATCAGCCGCTCCATGTCTTCAGCCGTCTTGTCGCACTGCTGGGCAGCCCGGCAGTTTTGCAACAAGTCTGCAAGCCATTCAGGATCTGGAGGATCGTTTCGCAGGATCTTGTCGAATGTCTCTACGGTATTTCTCCACTGCTGCAGCTCTTGTACCCACGCGACTCTGAGCTCCGCCGCCCGACTCTCGTGCTTCGACTTGAGTTCTGCCATCTGCTGCTTGTGCTGCTCATGCATGACCAGCATCTCATACTGGTTCTTTGCCATCCTGAGCTGCGTCTCCTGCCATTGCCTGAGCCGGTTTTGCTCCTCCAAGTTGTTGTCTTCAAAGATTTGAAGCTTCTTCTCCAAAACGCACTTCTTGATATGGTGAGCAAACATGATGCTCTCATCGATATCTTTGGGATTCAAGGCAGGAGCAGGAAGGGCGTTCGGCTGCTGATGAGAGGCTGTGAAGCTCGACGCATTGTCTTGATTCGCCAGACCGGAATGTGAAGCTGGGGGGTCCCGCCTTGACTGACTCGGCTCTTGTTCAACAGCCAAGTTGCATCTCTTGATAAGCTCTTGGGCCACGTCAACAGTGAGAGCTTGCCTCTCAAGCCAGATGCGAGGAAGACGCTGTATCTTCCGACAGATCTCTGCTTCTCCCTTTCTCTTTGCACAATGAATAGCCATCGGCATTACTTCACACAGGACTGGCCCGAAGTCCTCTACCCACCTGTACCCGCTGCTCGGACAGAACAGGATGTCATTGACAACATGCAGAAGTGCAAGATCTCGTTCAACTCGGCCTTCGTTGAGGTACTTCATGAACTGCTCTCCCCACAAGTACACACAGCGCTTTGTGTTGTCCCCTCTCTGCAGCATCGCACTGGAGCAGTCCAAGATAGCATCTCGGGTATCGATGACGTGTTGTAGACGAAGAATCAGACCTTGGTCAGACCAAGGCAAAGGATTCTGATTGCTCATCGGCGAGTTACCCTGAAGAATCACAAGAAATGAAGGATCTGTACAACCGTAGGATCACGCCAACGGCGTCACATCGCATCCTTTGTTGTTCAACGTGTCAGGCAGATTGTGGAAGGAAAGCGTTCAAGTCAAGCATGGCCTGCTTCTGCCCAGGTGGAACATGGAGGCTCCTCATGCTCTAGACGGCTGGACACGGAGGTCGCCTCCTCTTCTTCAGATCGCCGCACATGAATGTCGAGGCCCCGTCAACCTATCTGCATCACCCAACTCCACTCAGTCTATTCATCAAAATGCCCTCCATTTCTCTGAAGAGCTTCCCTTCCTTGCCTCTCCCTCCCTCTCCTCCGTGTGCTCTCACTACCTTCATTTTCAGGTATGAGAGGAGATGGGGTGAGGGAGCAGCAGAGTAAGGAGAACCATCTACCTTACACTATTGTGATCCCCGTCACGCCTATCCCACCTCCGCCCCCCTTCCCCCGCTCCTCTCTTTTTCTCCCCTCCCCTCCCCCCCCCCCCCTCGCACCTGCGGCGAATCATTCGGCATAGCAGCTAGACGACATCGCTGCCCCCAGTATTCGCTTCCTTCCACTACCGGTGTCAGAACCACCTTTTGCTGCCTCCAACCAAATTGCCAGGCTTTTACTGATGAGTCGGACTCGGTCCCTCGGAGTGGCAGTGGCCGGGGCCTGCTGGCAGGCTGGCCCTGAGCCGCCGGGCCGGCCGGGCCGCCGCCGCCAATTGGACTCCGATCGCAATCGGGAGTCCCAAGAAATTGGCAGCAGGATCCTTTACTCAAAGTTAAGTTAAAGAATCCATGTGAAAAGCCGTTCGTTTCCGCCGTGGAGATCTTACGAACGTCAGCTTTTCCGAAGCCTCGGAGTCGCCGGGGCCACACAAGCTTTAAATTGTGAAAACATTTGTTTTCGCTATCATTTTACGAACCTGTCACTGTCTGCCTGTCTGCCTGCATGATATATCTTGTTTGTCCAATGCTCGAGTCAGTCTAGAGCTGTACAGGTTCCAATGCAGCAAGAAGAGGAGGTAGAAGAGGACGTTCAGGTACTTCAGGTCACCAATGCCGTCGCAATCTTCCCCCGTAACAAGAAAACCGGCCCAAGACAGTCTCCGGTCTTTCTCACCCGTCACGACCTCGTCAAGCTCTTCCCCTTCAAGCTCGAAGAAGCCGCCGAAAGCCTGGTACTCCCATACTCTCACCTCCCGTGCACGGGCTTGGCTGACAGAGGACGCTCCTACAGGGCTTGTCGCTGACGGCCTTGAGGAACGCATGTCGAAAGCTTGGCATCTACCGATGGCCGTATGCCAGAGCAGGAGGGGCCTCGATCACAGGCTCGCGGGAGCATCAAACGACCAGTAGCGCAGAGCACGCTGACTTCTCCGACGACATCATGCAAGCGGAGGCGTCAGCGTCAGGCGGTGGGAGCAGCCACGAGGGCGTCGTGACGAGTCATCAGGACGAGACGGCGTCAAGTCAGGAGGATCAAGTCGGAGCCGATCCGCATGAGGCGAGCGAAGGAGATGTACGATCGATGGAAGAAGGGAAGGAGCGGAGGTTCATAGAGTGGTACGCGAACCAAAAGGACGAGGACGAAGAGAGCGTATTCTACGAGCCTGAGAGGAAAACGTCTAGACTGATCGAGAAGATATAAATCGTGAGACATTTTTTTCGTGTTGTCACCCGTTAATTCCCTACATCATTGAGTAGGTGTTTGTTGCGATGATGAGGACTACAGTCTATCAATCAGAACATACTCGTGGTTTTGCTCGGCAGAGCCTCCTCGGGCCCTGATGACTGGACTTGAGTTCACGACAATAAACGGAAACTTTGCTGATATGTGTACATCAGACTTACATCAAAAGAGGAGGGGTGAAGGGAGCATGCGAAATTATCGATCGATATCCTGTTGTCAAAATGATTCTGTTTGAGCCCAAACATACCAGTGCAAATGCGATGTTTTGACGATGCATTTGGGTATCGGATCAAAAGAGCATTTTATTAATCATCTTCATGAAATAGGAAGAGAGTGACAAGTTACAAAATCTGCAGAATGAAAACTATTCCGAGCGAGAGCAGTCTCGGAAAGAGGAGGCTGAGATAACAAGATTGACGTTTTCCCATCTTCCTCTCCTCAGAGCTGTTAAGAGACCAAGAGACTAAAATGGAGGATTCCGTTCAAAAGGCGGGTAGGTATGAAACAGATGATGAGATATTCGAGATCGCATCATATTGAGTCCAACGAGTCTCCCTCTCAGGCTCGTAGAATACGCTCTCTTCGTCCTCGTCCTTTTGGTTCGCGTACCACTCTATGAACCTCCGCTCCTTCCCTTCTTCCATCGATCGTACATCTCCTTCGCTCGCCTCATGCGGATCGGCTCCGACTTGATCCTCCTGACTTGACGCCGTCTCGTCCTGATGACTCGTCACGACGCCCTCGTGGCTGCTCCCACCGCCTGACGCTGACGCCTCCGCTTGCATGATGTCGTCGGAGAAGTCAGCGTGCTCTGCGCTACTGGTCGTTTGATGCTCCCGCGAGCCTGTGATCGAGGCCCCTCCTGCTCTGGCATACGGCCATCGGTAGATGCCAAGCTTTCGACATGCGTTCCTCAAGGCCGTCAGCGACAAGCCCTGTAGGAGCGTCCTCTGTCAGCCAAGCCCGTGCACGGGAGGTGAGAGTATGGGAGTACCAGGCTTTCGGCGGCTTCTTCGAGCTTGAAGGGGAAGAGCTTGACGAGGTCGTGACGGGTGAGAAAGACCGGAGACTGTCTTGGGCCGGTTTTCTTGTTACGGGGGAAGATTGCGACGGCTTGAGGGGTCTGCATTGCTGCGCGTGTTGCTGTCACTGCAGGGTGAGTTAAGACGTCTTAAGAGAGACCGAAGATCCGTGCGGCTGTGACAGGAGGTGATGGGGTGCGAGAGTCACGTTACTTGACTGGCTAAACATTTGCAGTCACGTTACTTGATCAGAAGTCACGGTACTCGTAACTCGAAGGCACCGTATCTCCCATCAAGAAGTTTTAACCCAATAATGCCTTGAAACTCGCGTGGTCACAGTAGAGGTTTTCGCTGCCTCTTTCTTCGTATATAAACAATTAGAGTCTCTTGTTGAGGCGGACTTGGGTTGGTTTGCCCTTTACTAAAGGAAAAATCATTCAAGGTGTCATTCGTCGGCAAGAACTTCTACAGTGCCGTCTTGGCGGATTTGAGGCTTCATCTTGATTTCACTGACCCCCTCCTTGGACAGGCTGCGAAGACGATCAGAAGGACATTGCAAACACAACCAAAGCAGAAGCAGAGACATCACCGATTGTCCACGCTCTCACCCCTCTCCCTGAGAAAGTCTTCAACATTCACGCTCCTTCTCCCTACTCATTCCAGTCAGGTGTGTGCAGCAATTCGGCATTTGGTGAAACCCGTTGAGTCATAGAAGTAGCCGAGATTATCCGCCAGCAAATGCTGAACCTAGTTTTGAATTACAACGTAGTTTGACAATGTCGGATTTGACTTAGTACCCCACACCCATCACACTTGACGATAACCACCCCTTTCTCGTATGCCTGTTATCCGCTGAGGAGAAGAGATCACAAATCAACGGACGATACCATCCTGGTGAAGATCTTGCTCTGACGAGTTTCGCATTTGTTGCACGTGAAAACAATTTGCATCTCCGGATACTTGCCTGATCATGAGCATTTACTAGCACCCCGAGTTTGAATCAATCTCCAAACCTGGATTTTGAGCTTTATCTTTGCTGAACGAGGACATCTTCTTCTCTTGCTCTCTCTTGGCTATCTCGTCATCGCTATTGCAAAACCAATGAGGTTACCAAAACAGTCTGTCCAGTGCGTAGGCACTTTCTACCTTTCTTGTCGACCAAACCCTTTGTTACCTCCACTACGAGCTTGGAGGCAGAGAGCGCTCAAGCGGCTCATCTGTCTGGCATGACGAGCCTTGACCTGGAAGATCTTTGAGCAACCCTCACCCAACAACCCGTCGTTTACCACGTGCTCTATAGAAACACAAGGAGGGCAGGCCCGTCTCCGATCCAACGAGTTGATGCCGCGATTGCCAAAAAGAAGCATCCCTGGTTCAACGAAGCCCAAGGGAGAGGATGATTTCTGAGCCCTCGCGCGTTTGAGCCTTTCGTCGTAATCTTTCTTACTGTACATATCACTCCTCTTGGCATCTTCGCTCAACCTCTTTGGAAGGTCCATCACCTAATCCATTGGAATCATGAACTCCACTGATCACTTCGTTCCTTTCGAGCCTTACCTTCTCAGAATAAATCAACTCGTTATCTTTCGAGACATTGAGAAAGAGCTCAGAGCCCCTTATAACTGCCCTGCTTTTGAACCCGAACATGTCCTGTTCCCAAGCAAGTCAGGAACAAACGGTCAAGCGTCTTACCCGCACCTCTTTCACACTGTCCCAATCACCGTGGTTATAGAATCCAGGCTGACAAAGTAATGAATGAGTATGATGTCCAGTAGAAGTGCAGGAAAGGAATTGCTGACCTCCAACAGAGCAGAACTGGTGACAAGCCCGAAGAAAAGAAGCAAGAAAAAACCGCGAATTAAAACGGCAGATGATGTCATTTAGAAGCTGTTTCTGCTGGTATTTTCTGCCGCCCTGAAAATCAAAACGATGCTGTCTTAGTTCATAGTCCATCCATTTCAAGTAGTGCCTAACCCATCATCACAACAGCAACACATGCAGCCGTATCAATCCGGTTTACAATCTCTGCCTCCTTCAATTCCACTTCCTCAACCTGCTATCGTAATGCAGGTTTCCGCTCCTCTCTTCCTCTCTCATTCCATCCTTCAACACCTTATGCATTGCGATCCCCCGTCCCGCCCTCTCTCCTCCTTCCCGCCCTCGAATTTTCCATTCCTTCGGCCTCATGTATGCGATCCGACCACAAACCATGCCCTCATCCCCACTGATTCCCAGATTTTTCCTCACCCTCATCCCCCTCATCCCCCACATTCCGGCGGCCGGGCTGCATTCCGGGCCAACTCAGGGGCCAACTTGGATCATCTCAGTGCTCGTCCTGGTTCATCCTGGCTCCTCGACCCCGGGCCCCCTCAGTCTGCTCTCCTGCCTTAGAGCATTTAGTGCCGTCGAGCCCCAACTTGCGTGACACGTGCGGCTCAGTGATTTGGAACTCTCAGACATGTAATATACATCTTGAACTCTACAACTCTACTCTCTGTTGGTGAAGGAGTACCTCAATCCTCATCGATCACTATCACCTCGTCGTCTTCTATCCTCGACCCGCTCAGCAGGTGCTGGTCGTCAAGGAGACGGAAGTTGGAATGAAGTTGGCTTGCATAAAAGTCCCGGCTGAACTCTGTCTGCAACGATTGAGCAAGAGAGCTTCTTTCTTCCTCCTGCCTTCCTTGTGGCTCCAGCTGCTGACGGGGACGTTTGTCGCCATTCGACTCTCCGCTGTCTCTCTTCCTCTTCAGCTTCCCTGCGTTGACTTGCTCCCAGAACTTCTTGATCCTGCTCACCATCTCCTCCTCGTGAAGCTTCGAGACGGACTCCCATACATGGCACACAGACCATCCAACACGGACCATCATGCAGCTACAGGCATACTTCTCCTTGAGCGCACTCGGGGTCTCGTTTTCGTTGTGCAGGAACACAGCGACGCGGGAGCAGCCGGGGGAGCTGAGCTCTATCACCCGGATGTCTTCGCTGCCCACGGTGCTTCCGATGCTCCAGAGATCGGCAGAGATGTCAGGAGATTTGAGCTTGTTCAAGATGGTTGAGAACGCAGGGGGGATCGGAAAATGATCAGAACCCGCACATTCCTCGTCCTTCTCGTGCAAGTCAGACGAGTTGAAGAAGTTCAAGAGCTTCAGCCTCATGTCCGTCTCCTTCTTCAGATCGGCGGGCGAGACTGAGTGGAACAGCATCAGGCAGTTCTTTGCACGGGAGACCGCGACGTTGAAACTTTGCTCGTGCCTCTCTTGCTCCGCTGCGAGGTTGCGCGGGCCAGCCACCATGGTGAGCATGATGATGTCTTTCTCAGATCCCTGGAATGTTGCAGCGTCTCCAAACTCCATGTTGTATTCCTCTATCTTCCCTTGTAGAAATGGGTCGGACGTCAGTTTCTTCTTGATTTCTTCAGCCTGGTGGATGTTCCACAGGGACAGTACCCCGATGGAGGGTTTGGTGGAAGGTTTGCCGTTTGCCTTGATAGGGTTGCGATCGTAGTGATGAACGATTTCTCGAATCTGCAAATACTTCGTTTAGAACAAACAAGGAAGGCAGCAAATGCCGTTACCTTCTCAACGATACAATCTTGCTCTTCGAAATTCAATCTCTTCTGACCCTGGACTCTGCATTCACCATCCTGCACGTGATAGCGTTCCAGGGGCTTCAAGAAGGCATCTGAATCGGCCAGCTCGTTCCTTCGCAACGGAATGAGCGCGTTCTGGTAGAACTCCGCGTTGGAGAACTTGATGATCTCCGGGAGGCAACGGAAATGTTCTCTCAGGAGCACTCGTGACCCGCTGAAGATCTCTTTGAAGAGACTGAACAAAGGGCAACCTGGAAGAACGTTCTCGACGGTGCTGTCAGGAAACATTTCTAGCGTCTCCCGAGCATCGTTCTGGTCCTTTTCAATGGCACGGGCGGGAGCAACCTGTTGGTCATCTCCTATGACGATGATCTTCTTTCCTCGCAGAAGAGCAGGGAAGGAGGAGAAGTCAGATTGCGAAGCTTCGTCCAGGATAACAACATCAAATACTCCAAATTCAGCAGGGAGAAGTTCGGAAACGTTTGCTGTCGGCATGATCCACAATGGGAGAACATTGATGAGAGCGCTATTTGACAACAGCTGCTCCAGCTCCTTGCGAGCACGGTAATACTTGGCTGGCATTCTCTTCCCACGCGATTTGGTCTCAATCTTCGCAACATCTTTGATAAGACGCCGAAGAGTTTCAAGCTGAGAAAAGATTGAATTCTTCAAGTTTTGTTGCAGATGCCTTTGTGCCATGTGCGCAACTAATTTTTGAGAAACTTTGCAAATGTCTTTGATGCATTGTTCTCGCTTTGTGAGATTTTTTTGAAACAGGTCAATGCCAACCACGTCCTTGCAAAGTTGAAGATATTGACGCAGATAGATCGAGAAGCAATTCATGATCAGTTCATGCCGATTGAACAAGTGAATTTCAATCGGATCGATACTGTTCAGCCACTTCGTGAGACCTGCTTTCTGAAGCTGAACTTTCATGGAAACGATCCCAGGGCCTGAAAATGAAAACAATTTCCTCGAGATGCGAGAAAAGAGCGAGTCCGGATTTGATTCGGTCTGCAGCTCTTTTCGAACTTTTTCAACGAGGTCTTTCTCTTCCATCAGCGCTAACAAAGAAGGATTCGGAAAGGGCAGCAGTTCATCTGCATCCAAGTGCAGATACGAACGATCGCGAGGTAGAATGTAACTTGAGCTCAGTTGCTCCGGGGAAAAATTCTTGTACGCAGAAAGATCATCTGATTTCTTCATGAAAGCTTGCAGAAAGCTTGCAAACTCTCGAATACGTTCGACATAGCTCTTGTTGCAGAGCTCTGAGATGTGGATTCCTCCTTTCGAAATGTGTTCAAAAGACTGATAGAAGATGGAGTGCAAAAATTCATCGTCGCATTCCACATTATGCAGTTTTTGTGTGATATTCACCAAGTTTTCCTTTTGTCTTTCAATTTCAAAATGGTCGATTGGCATATTCTGGACATCGTTCAATCGTTTTGTCGCTTCCACCAGTTGATCAAGCATATCGCGTTTGCTCCCCTCCCACGAGATCGCAATGTTTGCCAGCCATGGTACCGCCTCTCCGATTTTTTTCTTCATGACGGAAAGCGCATGGATCCCATGGCTCGTGATCAAGATTTTGTTTCCCTGAGAAATCAAATGACAAGCGATGTTTGCTGCGAAGAACCGTCAGTCAATCACATTGATTCATTGACATGCTCTTACCTATCGTGTGAGTCTTGCCCGTACCAGGAGGGCCCTCAACCACTACCACGTTTGAGTTGCAGAGCAGCTTGACTACCTTGAGTTGATCTGCGTTGTACGGTAAAGGCAAGAGGAAAGCGGGATGATCGTGTGAGGCGATAGAAGATGACTGCGATGGGCCATCAATGATGTCTTTACAGTAAGATGGTATCACACATGAGGGTGAATCAAGCAACTTTGAGAATGTATTGGCGTCTTTTGAATTGCTGGGCTTGTAGATGACCCAGGTCCTGAGAATCTCGAGGTTCTTCGGGAGGTTCTGATTGTTGAGGTAATATTTCTGGTCCTCGACCACTGGCTTAACGCTGGAAAAGTCGCTTCTCAACTGCATGCCGAGTGACGTCATGAGATCATAGAGGTCGTCTGAGTTCGGGTGGAGATTCTTGATATCTTCCAGTCTCTTTGCACTCTCCTTCTTCAACTTGTCGAATTCTTGTAGTGAATGACACAAAACTTCGAAATTCCAAAGTTCAATGTCCATATCTGCAACTGGGGAGATGAGGAAATAATCGTCTAGCATTAAGCAGGTCATTTCGAAGAGAATCAATGGATGGTTGATATTTTTGTAGCCATATCGCATCAACCCAACTCCGAGTATCAAAGTTTCGTTCGTTCCTTTGCAACACAAAGAGTGTAACTGTTTTCTAACTGGTTCTGCTAGATCATCTCGACGAATGCAAATGCTGCATTCCGAGTTGAATTCTTGGTCTTTCAAGTCTTGTTCCATGATCAAAATCGAGTTGTCCTTGTAATATTGCAGAGACAAAGGGCATGCGTCGGAGGTCAAGTCGGAGTCTCCTTTCTTGGACAACTTCTCTGCATATTCCAGTAGTTTCTTGAGTTTCGTGTTCTCGTGCATGTTGTTCATCTGCAAAACATCGGTGAGATCGCCACACGTAGGCTGCTCTGAAAAGTTTTGATCACTACGACACGATTCCTGTCGCTCTCTCTTCTCTCTCTCCCTCTCTCCTCTCCCCCTCCATCACTCCTGTTCTTCCCTTCCCCTCGCCCGCTTCTTCCCTCCCTCCTTCCTCACTGCCCGTCTCCTGCCTCCCTCACTGCCCGTCTCTTCCCTCCCTCCCTCCTCCTCCCCCGCCCCC